GTGTGTGAGAGAGTGTGTGCGAGAATGTGTGTGTGTATGTGTGAGAGTGTGTGTGAGAAAATGTGTGTGTGTGTGTGTGAGTGTAAATGTGTTTGTGTGAGTGTGTGTGTGTGTGTGAGTGTGAGTGTATGTGTGTGTGTGAGAGTGAATGTGTGTATGTGTGAGAGTGTGTGTGTGATGCAACCAGGCACACTGAACATAATTAAACAACGAATAGACACACTGCACTGAAGTAAATACGAAAAGAAAGCCACTCTATCATAAAGCAGCTGAATGGTTGATGAACCTCTGAATTTTAAAAGTGCATTTCTTGGGCTGTCAAGATTTTTTATATTAAAAAAAATTCTACCATAACTTCATCGTTCTAAACTGGTGCGGTACATGAGGGTAGTTCACTCTATGAGCTTTCGGTACTGTAAGTGTTAAAAAAAAGAGGAGGGTAAACAATTCTTGCACCTTTTCACATCTTTCCTCGAGCTGGCCAGAGCGGTGCGGAGTTGATCGAGCGTGGACTCACACAGATTCTTGTCCGCCTTGCCCGTCTTCTGTATGTCCAGCGTGGTGAACAAGTTCGCCGCCAGCGACGCGTAGTCTGGGAGGGACACATCAGGACACAAGTTTTTGTTTTAGTAGAGGTTTTATGGCGCTCACAACTATAAAAGGTCATACGAGCGCCAAGGCTTGGATGTCAACAGAGAAGTCCATACAGGGAATCAGACTTACTCTGCTCACCTCTCTAGCTTCAACAGCACAAAGTCTGCTTCGACTATCAAGGCATCCAGAAATAGAAGTTCACAAGAAGGTAACAAATGTACAAAAGAAATAGAGTGAAAATGACGATAGTAAGGATGAGGAAAGAAAGAGCAGCAGTCCCCTGTTACAGTTCAGGCACAGTTTTGAACATGACATTGAAAAATCAGCCCATTTACAATTCTACTGTGCAAAAGAACATGTTAATGTCCCCCCTTTAGGAATGGCCTAAAGACACTTCAGTCGAACAAAAAACAAACAAAAAATAATTAAAAGATTAAAAAAGTGTCAGAAGTGAAATCTGCACCCACCCGACATTTTTAATTTTTATTCGAGAGACAAAGTGAAGGGAAGCAACCGCTCATAATATTCAGGCATTTCAGGCCCCACTTGTTACTTCCCTTTGTACATCACTTGCTCAGTGCCTGTAATTATCTGCACAAAAACCTCATGTTTGCTATAACAAACACTCGGATTCAAAGAGATTTTAGGTCAGGCCCGGCGACCTCGTTGAATCCGAGTTCCACAGAATCAGTTCCTACAAGACTTTGGTAGACTCTAACAGAGCCAGTTCAGTTTGGATATATGGAAAAAATGGAGAGCTTGCAGTTAGCAATAACTAGATCGATAACAACAACAGCAGTAAGCAATTTTGATCGCAAGTCTGTGGATCTTACCAGAGACAATGTGAGTGATGAAGAAATGCCAGCTCTTTCCTTTCCTTTCACTACATGCCAGTTTATGTTGATGATGTGTACATATATGTGTGTGTTTGTGTGTGTTTGTGTGTGTGTGTGTGTGTGTGTGTGCGTGAGTGTGTGTGTGTGTGTGTGTGTGTGTGTGTGTGTGTGCGTGTGTGTGTATGTGTGTGCGTGTGTGTGTGTGTGCGTGTGTGTGTATGTGTGTGTGTGTGCGTGCATGTATGTGCGAGTGTCTGTGTGTGTGCATGGGCATGCGAGCGTGCGTGCATGCATGTGTGTGTCTGTCTGTGTATTTGTGTATTGATACTTTTTCTTTTGTGATAAATGCTGAGTTTTGGAAGTGAGCACAAAAATCCTATACAGAAGATATCCGTACAACGATCTGTTTTTGCACACAACTTCTTTCACAGAGAGGCATAAAATGTGAGGCGTGCTGACAAAATGAGTTACTTCTCGCAATTCACAAAAGGAGATATTGGCCAAAAATCGACACTTGGATCAAATTTTTAGATTTTCTATTGATGCCATATTCTTTAAGTATAACATGCCTTTCATTATTTCATACTTAAACATTGTGAAAACTTCACCTATAAGCGTGATGTAGCTATTTCCATTGGGCTCAAATCCGAGAAATAACTCATTTTGTCAGCACGCTTCACAAATGCCCATTGAGAGCATGTACCATTTAGAGAGAGGTAGAAAACACCCAGTGAGAGTATGTACCATTTAGAGAGAGGTAGAAAACACCTAGTGAGAGTGCTGTGTAAGGGACATAACAAGACAATTGTCCTTCCCTGTTTTACGTGAGCTACTTCCCGTCACTTAAGGACATGCGCAGTAGCGACTAGTGGGGTGAGGAATAAAGTGCAGTTGCTGTCCGAGATACGTGTGGTGAGCAGTTCTTCTTGTGCTCAAGTCAGTTAGTGAAGTGTTCTGGAATAACGTGACCCCAAAGGAGACAAACAGAGAGCACGTACCATTTATAGAGAGGTATAAAACACCCACAGAGAGCACGTACCATTTATAGAGAGGTATAAAACACCCAAAGAGAGCACGTACCATTTATAGAGAGGTATAAAACACCCACTGAGAGCACGTACCATTGAGAACACAGCAGGTGAACACTGAGGAGCGGAACACGTCGTAGGTGATCGCCTCATGCTCAGAACACTCCAGACGTTTGAATAAACGAATGGTCACCGCTGACGGAATATTTCTGGGGAAAGACAGAAGCAGCAGTAAGTTCATTTGAAACAACCATGCATCAAGTTTTGTTGAACTCGACAACAGTACAATGATGTTTTTTCCAAAATTGAAAAAAAACTGTAACAAAGAGGGTTTTTTCCCGTTTTTTGAAAATGTACATTGTACCTACGAAATTATTGACTTGATACTTTATAGAAACCACCAGAACATTCTTATTCAAATGCTCTTCAGCTTTTTCGACTCTTCTGTAGCTCTGTGCTTTCATGGCAATGCAGGCTTTTCTTGTCAATATCACTTTACTTTTTTTTTTTAGGTCAGCATTTAATAGTTATTTATTGTATCTCTTCAAACAATAAGAAAACCACAATAAAATTTTGCTACCTATCTGAGAGACATTCTAGAAGGCAACTAGACAGTAATAAAACACAACTACCATTTAAAGCTGTCAGAACAAAAACTATTGTGAATGAATTTAGAGACATACATACCATTCATCCTTCTCAGACCCCCCCCCCCCCCCCCCCCCCCCCTCTCTCTCTCTCTCTCTCTCCTTCTCTCTCTCTCTCTCTCTGTCTCACCTCCCCCCCCCCCCCCCCTCCCCCTCAGATTCCTCCGTTTTCTTCCCACTCAAAAACATCCACATAAAATATTATAGGCATCCCTGCATGTCGGTAACTGTAGGTGTGACCACACAAACACAAGCTGTTTGAGCAAATTATGAGACATTTATTCTTTAGAGGGCAGTAACATTTTACTTGTACGATATACTAGCGTTGATCAAATAGTCGTGCCTCCTGTGCAATATTGATAATAGTTTTCCTCTCTCTCACACACAAACATACATATAACCACATAAGCCTGTCTTACAGACATACTTAAATACATACACGATTACATACTCAAACACACATGCACACCCCCAACACAAATACAAATACACACACAAACATACACACGCATGCAAACACACACACACACACACACACGAATGCACACACACACATACACACACATACACTAACATCTGCCCCTCCTCCTTTCCTCAGTTATATACCCAAGATGTTGGAAACATGAAAACTCCCCTTTCTACCATCAGCAAAATTATCAGATTTATCTACCTCAACAGAGGAGCCAACTGGCTGTGGAGAAAACCCCCCAGAGCTTTACAGACCCAGCAGAAATGTGCGCATGAGGACCCAACATTTATGGTTCATATTGTCAATTACTACCTGTACCAAGCCTATTTTCAAAATATAGCGCCACATTCGGATAATTCTTGAAATTTCTGAAATAAGTCCACATTTACCCAGAATGGGCACCGTGCACTTGGGCAGACTTGACTTACTGGCACAAGGCTTGCATCAGCTGCCCGTGAATTGTTCCGTTTACGCCGTGCAGTCTCTTATTGACTGAAAATGAAAAAAACAAACGCCCAATGAGAACATCACGTACACAACGATGAACAAGCATCAACACATCCAAAGAGCGATCGCCAAATAAGTGATAGTTACAAAGCACAATCCACCAGAATTTCGAGATGCTGTTTGTTTGTTTTAGTAGAGGTTTTACGGCGCTCGCAACTGCATAAGGTCATATGAGCGCCAAGGGGTGGATGTCAACAGAGAAGTCCTTACAAGGAATCAGACTTACTCTGCTCACCTCTCTAGCTTCAACAGCACAAAGTCTGCTTTGACTAGCAAGGCACCCCGGAAACAGCGGGTCACAAGAGTGTAACAAACATACAAAAGAAGTAGAGGAAAATGACAGTAGGGATTAGGAAAGAAAAAGCAGCAGTTCCCTGTTGTAGATCAGGCACAGTTATGAGCATGACATTGTTGGATCAGCCCATTTACAATTTTACAGTGCATTAGAACGAGAAATGTCCCCCCAAAGTCAGTGGCACCGCCCTGCTGTCTACATCCATAAATTTATTTGGATTTGAGCACAAAGATATTTTACGACATTGACATTCTCTCTTATTCATTTCAAGACTGTTCCCCTGCTTGTTCCTCTACTTCCATTTCCCATGGTTTGGGGAATTCACAAAGAACTTTTGCAAAGTCTAGGTTAACATCTAAAAAAACCCCAAAGGACTTTAATCCAAAAATAATAAAAGACATGTACCATTTGAGACAAGTTACGCAGTGTTTTTAATTCAGTGAAGACTCCACAATTAATGAGCAAAATGGGATTCAGTACAGTTTGGGTTGGTTTTTCTTTCTTAACTTTGACATCTACAGGCTAAAAGAAGCTACAGTCTAAGTACCAGTGCATTCACTACAGCCTAGTTCAGTGGGTAACACTTTCTCAACTACAGAAAATCCCACATACTTGTGGCAAACTTCAATAATTTCAAATATCAAAACAATGAAACTATGAAACATCTTTAAGATGGAAAAAATTTTTCACGACATACACATATCATAATGAAAATGCAGACACAAAAAGTAAGTGAAAATACAAAATGAGAAAACATTTTCTTCTTTTCCCTAACCTTTGTTATTTGTTTTGGTCCGAGTTTTATGGCACTCACAACTACATAAGGTCGTATGAGAGGGCTTCTTCAGGCGGTCATATTCTTGTTAGCTCATAGAGCGGCTTGATTTTGTTTTGTAAAGTCGAAATGGTTGTAGTTATAAGTTCTCTGCAAAAGTTAAGTTTTTTGCAAACAGCAGTTTACATTTTTTCATATCATTTTAAAAACTTTTTATACATGAGGAACTGTAGCATAGATGACACCGCCTGGGGAAAAAGATGCCTTGGATCGTCTAAAAAGGCGATTGACAGTTCAATGATCCAGGGGCGACAGTTCAATGATGCGCGGCTGCAGTGGAACAGAGAACTGTACCTCATCATCATCCAGTGCCAAATCTGCGACAGACATCTGTGATCATGGTTTTCCATTCATTCCTTTGCTCGGATGCTCTCAAAAAAGCTACGTTACCCTGATCGTTCCCCATTACGCATTTGTCTCGGTTCCTCATGTAGATTGTTCTGAGCCTACCCCTGCCTCGTTTAGCTTCAATTTCGCCAGTGAGAGCTAGTTGTTCAAGACCCTTATGTCTGTTCAGGTGTCCCAAAAACTGCATTTGTCGTTTCCTGATTGTTTTTAACACTGAGCGTCCCACGTGGGCTTCATCAAGTACTACCTCATTTGATTTCTTTTCCTTCCACGATACTCTTAGCAGTCTCCTGAGAAACCATATTTTTATTGCTTCTATTTTATTTTCAGTCTTTAGAGATTGTCCAGCATTCACAGCCATATAGAAGGGTTGACGGTGGTTGACCATACATACTGGTGAACTGTACCTAAGCTCTCAAAACACAAGATACTGTAGACCATCGTAGTCTGACATCTAATGAGGAAGATACTGTGGCCCAGAATTAACTTTCTTGTCTGGTTGAAATCACAATGATCGCAGTCATCATTGATATCGATGGGCAGCCAGAGAAGATTGACATCTTACCATAAAGACGAGTTCACTGACCTTTGTGTTTGCTGAGGATGAGAAAAGCCGAGCGGACGTTGTTCTCAAACACGGGCCGGCTGTGGTGGGTCAGACTCAGGACCTGGACCGCTCGGTTCACCAGATCGTTCGCTGGGTCTTCTAGAGTCACGCTCTCAAAACTGACGGGAGAGAGAAGATTAACGAGTTGCTGTATATGATTTCTGGGCTCAGGGTAGGAGTGATGTGTTTACTTATGTGCGCTAAGAGAGCCCAAATAAGTTGGATAGGAGGGAGGAGATAGGTTCAGCAAAAAGGATATTTAAACAATTTAAGTGCTCCAAGGCTCAAAGGACAAAAGGAAATGTCAATTGAAGAACAGAAAATGAAAATCTACATATCTCAGTTCTATTCAATTCAGACATACATTTACACAATTATTCACAATCAATCAAACGGAATAAACCATTACTAATCTGACAGAAAAAGATAATACTTCTCATGTTTAATTGAAACAAAAAGTTTGAAAGAGGTACTTGTTCAAAAAAACCTCTAGATCTAGTAGTGCAGCCATCAACTTACTAGTTTGCTATAAACCTGATTGGATCATCAGGTCTGTTAGAAATAAGTTTCGTCAACAGATCCTTCAGCAATCCATTCACATTGTTTTTGTCTGGGGAAGAAATCAATTGCTCACTTTAGACAGAAAGGATAGATCTAGGTCTAAAGGCTAAATCCCACATAATTCTCTATTTCACAATAAGTGCTTGTTGTGTAAGTTTCATCACCTCTCTCAGTCTGCCTTCATTCTGTCCCCCATAGAGAAGTGAAAAGGAACATTAACTTCGTAAAAACCCAAACAAGCTCAGCCTAATATGTGAAATAACCGGTACAGAACCTCTGAACACATTCCTAACCCAACCCCTGGACTCACCTCCCCTCTCCCCCTCCTCAGCGGTCCTGACTCTTTCTTGCAACATTTCTACTGCTAATCCTCGGCTCCTTCTTACTGCTATCTGCCTGATCTTAGAGTAGGTAAGATCTAACACCTTGCCTTTTCAGATAAGGTTCCGTGTGCAAGATGCGTACATTAAGTATCCCTTTATTAGTCCTAAAATCGATAAAAGTAGGCTTCGACCGCCACCCGAGCAAAATTCAAAATTGAAACCTACTAAACTGAAAATACTTAGTGTCTCGTGCCTGCTCATAATATTATTACTTTTTGCAGTTGCGAGCGCCGTTGCGTAAAACTTCCTTACTTTAATATTACGTTTTCCTCCTGTGGTGTCGCGAGGAGACACAGGCGTCTGTCTGCATCAAGAGGAGTGGCCTGTAGGAGGGACATCCCGTGAGCTCTGAGGGTGCCTGCCACAGATTCGCTCCAGCATCGCCTTGGTCTTCCTCTGGCTCTCCAGCCAGAATATTTGATGTTGTATGCCCACAGAGCTGGTTGGTTTGAAGGCATCCGTGTGAATG